AAAAAGCAAACACATTTCATCACCCAGAAGCAAGTCCAAAACCAAGAGGCCGAGTTTGCAAACTCGGCAAGTCGATATTGAGGCTTCTTATGATGATCGTACATGACGAAAGTGCTGTAAATACCGAGTAAAGCGGATGTGCTCTTAAGATGGTTAGAGCAAGTGTAGTTGGTAGGGGGGGCGCCTACTACTACTACTACTCCTCCTGCTGCTGCTGCTGCTACTACTACTACTACTGCTCCTACTACTACTACTACTACTACTACTACTACTACTACTACTACCACCCTCCTACTCATTTTCCTCCTGCTCCTCCTACAAGCTCCAAGTATGGTGCTTGTTGCCGGGCGCACTCACGACCTGCAACTGCCAAGGAGCGTGAAGCGTCTCATTGCTCAGTAAGGCTTTGTTGAAACCCGGGAAAGCGATTGAGGCGGCTTCCTCGAAGGTTGCCCCACACTCGGCCTTGCCATGAACATGTGCGAAGAAATTGACTGCTTATGGCTTCTACCCTAGGCCTTGGGGCTAACATGCATACCTGTGTCTTTGACACCAAAGCACTCAAACAATGGATCCCCGCATCTGCCAGATGTTTGGAATTGCAACATGAGTCTCGATGAATGTGGATGAAGAAAACGCACATGAGGATGCTAATGGTGGCAGTGATGCTGATGACAACGACAATTATGACAACGGCTGACGATGATGATAATGACGATGTTGGTTAGGATGATGACAGTGACATGAGCACGACGGACAGGGGAGTGGATAATGAAAGGAAGAAGCGTGTGGGCATCCCGGGGATGTTGATGATGACTTGCCTCGTGATGACTATGAACCTTCTATCTGCGCCCAAAGCAGCCTGCAATGCGTTGGTCAAGAAGCAATGCGAGAAGAACGGGAAATTGGCAACAAAGAGCTTGACTCCAGCAAGCAGCGCCGAAAGCTTCTCCTGAATTCACATGTTGGATTGCCACTGCATTTACGGGTTCAGGTCCCAGCTTGACCTGGGAGGGATGTCCTGAATTACACCTGTTCCAAAACTCCCTCTAAATCCTAACCCCTAAATCATGAATATCGGGTTTAAGGTCAAACCACAACCCATCGATGCACCATGAACACAAATCTCGATCCCCACCCCTCCAAAATCACCAGGCCCAACACGCATGCGAAAGAGACTCCCGGAAAGCAGTCGGAAGCAGCCAGTAGAAGAATCCTTGCCTTTTCAAGCTCCCTCTTTCCCCGCCCTCGCGCCTCCTCGTCGGCTTCGGTCCGATGGTTTTCAATCTTGACGAGCTTCGGTGCCAAGACGGACCACAAGAAATTCCCGCCCTGTGTCCGAGTGCAGCACAGATTATGTAATTTGACAAAGATCCGAAAAAGGTTGGTGCAAAACGCTCTCAGGCTCGATGCTTGCAAAAAGCCGGTGAGTGCGCCGGGAATGAAACGTGATCAGCTCGCAAGATGCACATGATGACACGAACACCTGCGAAAAACACTCAATTTACCATGTTCGATTGCCGATACGCCAAATCCCAACTAAGGCACTAAGGCAGAAGGAAGGCCACAAGAATTGGGTCGTACAAAACTTCCTGGCACAGAAAGGGAGCACCGGACTCAAAACCCCCACCCGACCCTGCCAAACAGAAAGATGCTGCGGCCAAGAACTCGTCCAGCAGACGCGAGGCAAAGATTTTGGGCTCAGGGTTTGGGGGTGTAGGGGGACAACACAACGAGGTTTGGTCGTCACTAAGATCCACACAGAGGAATAGCAAACAAGAAAAAAGGGATGTTCCTCAACTTGAAGGGTTCGGGGTGTTAGGATCGCAGACCCTTCACCCCCAAACCCGAAATCTTTAATCCTGCCCCAGCTGGGCCCTATATTACACTGTACTAGACTATACTATACTATACTGTCTTATACTATACTATACTATACTGTACTATACTGTACTATACTGTACTATACTATACCATACTATACCATACTATACCATGCCATACCATACTATACCATACTATACTATATCGTACTATACTATACTACACTTTACTATACTATACGATACCATACCATACTATACTATACTTTACTACACTATACTTTGCTATACTATGCTACACTACACTCTACTATACTATACATCATATTGGGCCTTGATAACCAAGGTCAGCAACAGCGAGGAGACGCTGGCGAGCCATGAGTCGGTCGGAAGGTTGTACTGCCAGGTCAGGAGTGCGGTGATTCCACCCACGTACCTCTAACTGGAAAGAGGATAGGATAGGTCTGTGTTTTTGGAAGCTTTGGGGTTTAAGGTCTGCGTAGGATGCAGAATTTTACTTTGGGTTTCGAGGTTGGGCGTAATTAGGGTTTTAATGCATCTGCTGCTTGCTTTCTGGGGCTTGTGAGAGTGTGTTTGTGCTCGTGCTGGCGGAGATCAGATTTCGGCAAGGTCCAGGCTGCTATAAGTTCCGTGTAGGCAGAGAGAACTAGCAGTCTTTGCCGAGTTGCGCTGCAACGTATGCCACCGTGGCGAAGTTGACCACCATTTTGGCTCTCTCACCGGTTCTCTCGGGGTCCCAGTCTTTGTTTATCTGCTGAAAAGTCTCCTGCTCCGCCACACCCCAGTATTGCTTGGTCCGGGAAGTGTGCCTTGCGAAGAGTTGGAGGAGGGTTGCGGCCCAAATAGAGAAGAGCAGACAGAATCCTGTCCTGACCGATCCAACTTCTCTTTGTTGGATCACCCCAGCCATTCTCAGGATGAAGAAAACGACGCCGGCAAAGCCAGGAACCAACATGGACTGCGCCAGGTGCGCCACGAACTTGAAGTAGAAGGCAATTGCTTCACCGAAGTAGGGTCGAATCACGATGCTCGCGTTGCCAAAGGATGGGCTAAGCCAGTTCTTGTAAGTGAGAGTTTCATTGTGGATTTCCTGAATCTTCGCGGGACTGGGGCAGGGAAAATAGCACGTGATAACTCCCTGCTGCACCATCTCGTCCAGGCTCACCCATTGATCAAGCCAAAACCTCAAAGGAGGGACCACAGATTTAGGGTTTAGGGCTTGGGATCTGAATGCCTCCGTCCTGAGCCACAGACACTGCTTTAAATGTAATCCCTGAACCCCGAACTGCAGGACTTATGTCCTAAACCCTGGAACCGACTGAGAGATCGTCGCTTGTTCCGGGATCGGGTACTGCCAGGCAGTACTCAGCACTTTTGCTCGGAGTGCTGTACGTTTGTTGCTGCTTGCTAGTTTGCTTGGCATCATTCATCATGTAGCATTGTTTACTGCCTGCCCACTCGTTTCACAGAGTCTCTTCTTCTTCCGCAGGACTCTGTATACTCTCCTGTTGGTACATATCGGTTGTGATTACGATCCGAACCGTTGTGCATGATGATTGCATTTCGATTATTTGGTGTATACTATGCTCTCAAACATATATGTGCATGGGAGGTATAGACATCCGACACATACGTTTGAAAATTGTCAGAAGGTGTGGATGAAGATGCTATACTAGTAGTACCCTTTCTGATACTGGTGTTGCTACTAGTACTAGCATGCTTGATTTTACTATGCTCTGATGAAGATTGCAGTTAGGATGATGAGAACGGTGGTGATGATAGCGCTGACGGTGATGATGATGATGATGATGAGGAGGAGGAGGAGGGGGAGAAGGAGGAGGGGGGATAAGGTGGTGGACGATGACGATGATGATGATGATGACTATGACGATGATGACGATGATGATGATAGTGACGATGATGATAGCGATGATGATGAACATCATGATGATCACGAGTCAATGATGACGATGATAATGGTGGTTGTGATGGTGATGATGATGATGACGATGATGATGAGGAGGAGGAGGAGGAGGCGGCAGAGGAGGATGAGGATAAGCACGAGGATGGTGAGGATTATGATGATGATGATGATGATCCTGCAGGTCGTGGTGGTGCTTGTCATGATGACGACGATGCCCATTTCGATGTTACTGCTCACGAAGCGGACATAATTACATGCTTCCATGCGGTGTCCTTGGCCCTAAGGACCCACTGTCAGCACAGAGAGTTCGAACATTATTTCGCCATTGTGGCTTCGGGGAGCACAGGGGGACAAAGAGAGGGAGAGCGATGTAAATGATGCGTAGGATTCCGCCAGGGCTCTCGTTGACTATCGTTTAGTCTTCTGATTCAGGGTTCATGCCTGTGGCGAATTTCGAGGCTGCCGCAGTCTGCCGAGCCTAGCAGACGCTCTGCTTGAACCCCCTCGCCCCTAGCCCAGTCAGTTCCCGTTTCTTCATCGAGGGTTGAGACTCGACGGATGGGGGACAGGATTGAAGGCAGTGCTTCACTCTCACAATGCAGGGGATGTTGAAGATGGTACAAACCACCGGGATTCCCTTACTCTAAAAACCCGTGTAGAATTTCTATGTGCGACTCAGACTGGTGTTTTCCTGTCACCCCATATGTTCACAGTGAGTCCTGAGACAGGCCCAACGACAAATCCTGAACGAATCCTCAACCTCCAAGTCGGGGAAGACGTAAGACTCATCTGCACCAGGTAGCTCCAAAAGCCGAATAGCATCGATGCTGCGAAAGGGAGCAAACTTGTCCTGTTCCCAAACACGAAACTCAATGCAACGTGTGGTGGCGAAGTGTAGGTCCCACTGAGGCTATAAAGAATGCCAACAAAACTATCTGCGGCGTGGTGACACCCGTACGAGGATCGCAGTTGAAGGAGCTGGCGGTAGCCGTGGTGGCGGTGGCAGTAGCAATTTCAGTAAAAGTCGAAGTAGAAGGAGTTCTAGTATGTAGTAGCAGCAGGGGTAGTAGTCGTCGTGGTAGTAGTGGTTGAGGTAGCGTCCGTCATCATCGTCGGAGTAGCAGTCGTCGTCTCGGTGCTGTTGGCAGAAGTGGTTCTGGCGGTGGTTTTGCTGCTGCTGCTGCTGCTGGCGCTGCTGGCGCTGCTGGTCATCTTCGTCGCAATCGTAATCGTTGCAGCAGTAATAGCGGAGGTTGCAGTGGCGGCCGTCGTCGTCCTCCTCGTCGGAGTAGTAGACATAGTAGTGGTGGCAGCAGCAGCAGCAGCAGCAGCAGAAGCAGGTGCAGGAGCAAGAGCAAGAGCAGGAGCAGGAGCAGGAGCAGGAGTAGTTGTACTATTAGTTGTTGTTGTTCTTGTAGTCGCAGCAGCAGCAGCAGCAGCAGCAGGAGTAGTAGATAGTAGTAGTTGCAGTAGTTGTAGTAGTTGTAGTAGTTGTAGCAGTAGTAGTAGTAGTAGTAGTAGTCGTCGTCGTCGTCGTCGTGGTGGTGGTGGGCAGGAGTAACAGTAGTAGTAGTAGTAGTAGTAGTAGTAGTAGTAGAAGTATGAGTAAGAATAGTAATAGTAGTATTAGTAGTAATACTAGTACTAGTAGTAGTAGTAGTAGTAGTGGTAGTGGTAGTAGTAGCAGCAGTCGTCGTCGTCGTCGTCGCAGCCGCGGTCGCAGTCGCAGTTGTTGTTGTTGCTGTTGTTGTTGTTCATGGTAGTGGTGGCGGCGGCGGTGGTGGTGCTGTTGTTGTGGTCGTACTTGTCAATAGCAACAATAGCAACTGCTGTTGCCGATGACTTTGATGCGCTGAAGGTGGTGGTTCTGGACGGCTGCCTTATCTCGGAGTACCAGAAACTGGTTTCGACGATCATGGCAGCAGCTGGCTCAGATGGCTTCTCTTACGCAGAAACGACGAGCACACACACACACACACACATCGCCACGGACACGAATCAAAGAGTTTGCAGAAGTGTGTTGACAACCAGCGTCTCCAAAGCTCCGTGCCCAAAGTTTCAAAGCGACTCCTTCTCTGCGACATGGAAGCGTGTTCTCGCCAGGACGGTGCGCGCGTCATCGTTCTGCATGGGCGTGTGACCTTCGGGGACGGGAATGCATGAGGGAAACTGCCTGTTATGGCGTCATCATGTTCTCAATTAGAGATGGGGGTTTCCGAAAATAGGGGACCCTAATATAGTACCCCAAATGATAGGATCCTTATTATAAGGACCCAAAAAAAAGGTACCCCTTATTTTCGGAAACTCCCAGATTATGCCCTTGTGAAGACTTGGCTTACTCGGCTCGCCGATGTTTGTGCTGTATGGTAACCAAGGTTTGGCTCCACTTGTTGGTTGTGTACAACTGGATGCTGAAGTGCTTGGAGTAAACCCAGAGACTCCAAAACCCCTAAATTAAGGAATATACCTTAAATCATATTAGGGATCCTATTATAATTTAAGGTATATTCCTTATTTAAGGGGTTTTGCAGTCTCTGGGAAGATCTAAAGGAATCTGGCTTTCAGCAGCTTCGCTTGAAGGGCAAAACGTAGCTTTCGGGCGTGCGGAAAGACTGCTTTACTTAGGCCGCCCTTTCATCCCATAGCCAAAGCATACAACTAATGGTAAAATAATACTTAATCGTAGTAACAGCGATAATATTGTTATATATTACCTATATTTTATGTATTATAGTTTTCCGGATGAAGCTTGCCGGAGCCTTGCAACATGCCGCAAAGCACTCGGAGATGGTGTGACACTGACACTCCAAGCATCAATCTTTAGTACATCTGATTGCCTGTTTGAAGGCAGCTAAAGGTAGCAAACATCAAGACCCCCAATAAAATGAATTACCACAGTCGGCCGTGTGTAGATAGAAAATACTAGTAGTAAGGCCGCTCTAGTGAGATTCCCTCGCCCCGACGACAATCTGCCAAGCCAGTGCAGGATCAATGATGGAAGCATTGGAGGCATAACTTCACGTGCAAGCGAGTCAAATCTTGCAGGGCATGTGCTGTGTTATGAGACTCCTCACGTTTATCACCGGAGAGGCCTTCTTAACGCTAGCTTCGCTTCAGTGTGGCTTCTGCAGGGCACGAGTGCAGTCAAGCCAGAATCCGGCAAAAGCATCAACCTCAAGACTACCAGTGACTACATCCCTTGTCGACAGCACCGGTATTAAGAAGTAGGGGATACAAACAGCGTACCGGAGTACCAGACTGAGGATGAAAACAAGATAGTTGCAAGAGAAAATCCAAAAAAACTTAGCGAAACATCAGCCAATCCTCCACAAGCTGGCTGCAAATGCAGCACTTCGATGTTCACGTAGACTACACATCCCCATCCCTGGGGAAGTGAAACCTCGGGCCTTGGTATGGGCCGCGCTTCTCGATCTTCTCGTAGCAGGTTTCCTGCACGGTATGAGCCCGGCAACTCTGAAGTTTTGCAGGACGGCGGGCTCCACAGCAGTCTTCAGTACGTTCACTTAAGGTTCTCGGAGTCCTCAGGGATGACATCCTAATATGTAAGATCTGTGCGAACTTTTCACTCAAAATCACACTCCAAGCATCCTCTGTCAGAGATCGAGTTCGTTTTTCTTCCGTGCTAGAAATCGCGACACACCCTACAGAAGCATAGGAATGTCCAGAAGCAGTCCTCGAATCAGACTCCTTCACTCCTGAACGCCTGAACCTCTATTTGCAAAGCCCATCGCACAGGCTAACACATAAACCCAAAACTAGTTCCGAAACTCAATGCAAAGGCTGCAGACACAGTATGGCCCGTAGATCCGCAAACAAACATACAGCGCCCTGACGACCATGACGTCCACGACGACCACGACTACTGTTGATGCCCAAATCCTGCAGAACATACACAACATCGCACTTGTCCCATGTCGCGCTATCCACTTCCCTGCAACCCCTGAATTTCAATGCTGCATCCCCGCGGATACGCAGGATGTTGAGCAATCGCGCAATCCCTGGATTTAGCCCCTGCATCAGTGCACCAAAATTGGGGAAAGCAGGGGAGCTGTGGGTAGGGTCAAAGTGATGAAGGATTTCGGGCATCAATCGTACCACGACCAAGACGACCACTACCGCCACCACCACAACGACACCACCACCGCCACCACCACCAACAAGCCACCGGAAACACCGCGATGACCACTACGAAAAGGACGACAGCGACCACCACGACCACCAGGAGACCACGAGAAAGCATCAGGAAAGAGCCATGAAAGCACCAGAAAAGCACCAGCACATTTTACAAATGCCTATCTAGAAAACAAAACCACTCAGACAGGTAGAACTGATATATACAAGTGAATTTCTTAAAAGCAGAACAAATGAATAAACAGATAACTAAGAAAACGATACATATATGTATGTATATGTGTATATATATACGCATACTCGAAAAGACACAAAGACAGATAGATATATGGATAGATAGACAAATAGATAGACAGATAGACAGATAGACAAACAGATAGATAAATAGATAAACTACAGAAAAGATACATAGATAGATAGATAGATAGATAGACAAATAGAGAGACAGACGGATAGATAGATATGTACAGATATGCTAATACAGGTATTGTATACATATGTGTATATATATACATACGTACATATGAATGTATGAATGTATGAATGTATATATGTATGTATGTATGTATTTAAGTATTTATGTGCATATGTATGCATGCATGCATGTATGCTTGCCGACATGCATGCATGTATGTATGTATGTATGTATGTATGTATGTATGTATGTCCGTATGTATGCATGTGAAAGTTTGGTTTTACATACATATGTATATATATGTATAGACATGTATGTGTATGTTTATGTCTATGCACATGTATGTACGCACATGTAAACATGCATGCACAAGCGTATCTGGCGATAAGTAAGCATGTGTTTGTGTTGTAACGAACCCATGGATAGGTACGTGTTTGTATATGAAATTTGCACACGTCATATATATATATATATAAGGTCAGACGCTTCGTGGTGGGGGTCCCTCTTCCCCCTGTGGTGTGGTTGTGGGGGTTTGGGGTTTAGGGCTTAGCTTAAGCTTCTGAGTTTGGGTTTAGGGTTTAAGGTTAAAAACTATAAAGCTTCGAGTCAACAAAAGCTTAGGGAGGGTGTTGGGTGTAGGTTGGTAGGGTGACGGTTTATGCTCTGCTTCAAGCTTAGAGCCTTCATTTAGGCGGGGTCAAAGTATGAAGTACAGGTTAAGCTTAATGAAGACAGGAACGCCCCACGTCATAGGATTATAAACTTGTACAGTTTACACGAAGGATACATACGTTACCATGGATGCCCAAACATGGAAGGAAATTTGATCCAGTTAGATTCCATATGTAAGCTGCCATGAGTCAATACATTCGTCAGTATGTTAACAGAGCAGATGCTGATGGAATGCCTACAAACCCATGCATGCATCTTGTAACCATGTACTGGTTTGCCACAGCTCTTTACAACACACCCCGAACGATCGTTTATGCCTTCATTCGTCCATGTGTATGCGCCCGGATTGATTCAAGCATTTCTTTATTCATCTGGTCACACCAGCACATGTACATCCATTCATAGCACACGTTCATGCATGCATGCCGTTTACTGCACAGATCTGCACAGTAGCCACACTTCCAATTGACCCGTGCTGTGTGTTCACAAGACTCACAAGCTTTGACTGTTGTCTAGCAGCCTAGCCATGAGCTCATCTAGTCATCTGTTCGTCCCTTCACATATACATAATGCCATAATGCATGGTTCCGTGTACTTAAACAATCGGAAACATGTCAATATGCCTTCATACTTCGGATCTTTCTCATCTATATTCGCATTTGCACCAAGTCAATCCTTCAGAGGCATGTCGTACTCCAAGCGCTCTGCCATAATGCCAATCTCGGGGCCATCGAGGGGCAAATAAAGCCTCGACCGTGCCGACACTCCCAACAGTTCTGCTACACACGATTGGTTCGGATAGTCGCAATACTAGTAGTAGTAGTAGTAGTAGTCGTAGTAGTAGTAGTAGTCGTCGTCGTCGTCGTCGTAGCAGTAGTAATAGGAAGTAGTAGTAGTACTAGTACGAGTACGAGTACTAGTACTAGTACTAGTACTACTGTTGATACGAAAAATCCTGCATCGATTTCTCGACGCAGGCCTCACCCCCCGCAACCCCGGAATCTTAATATTGAGCCGAAAAGACCCGAAATGGGGAAAGGCGCGAGTGGTAAAAATCCTGCATCACCCGACGGCCTCTCCAA